AGATCTGTTGGGTGAAGTAGAAAAACAGATAACAATTGAGTCAACTAAACAAAAACGAAACACTCACCTTTTAATTTAACATACGCTTGTCAAAAAGTCAAAAGTTGAAAAGAACGTGAAGCGTGCTCCAGCCCAATTTTCGGTTCCAAAAGACCCGTTCGGAGGCAAACACTGCGCGCAAAGCAGGCTGGTCATTTCCCATTGTTTAACTGCCCCCACTCAAGTAAACCACAAAGACTCACAGATGTTGCTTCGCAACATCCGTGAGTCAAAAACGGCACCATCTTTGCATCAAATTTGCAATACGTGGCATCGCGGTATTTGCAATCCGGCACATGGTGCAAAGTCGACGCCAATTTATAACTTTGCATATGTGCAAATGTGGTCAAAGATGTGCGATTTTAGAAATCGCTTCAAATTTGCACATACATTTGCATATATGCAAATCCAATTTTTCATCCCGTGAATGTTCTGAGTCTCCAGACTTGACAAATTGAAGGCCGATATAATTGATAAAAATACACACTTTGCGGAGACTACATCATAAAATGATCTATTTAATATGTATACTACGTCAAAAAAATCCAAACTAGAGGCATAAAATATTAGTTTGCAAAATAAACACTTTTTTGCAAGAAAATAACGGTAATATGATTTTTTTCTGCGTTGGTATTTGTGTACTCAGGTGAATATGATGTTTTTGCTGTACTCTAAGTGTATATCCACATCGGGGAGCTTGATAAATATGCCCGGCCACGGTGGGAATCGAACCTTTGTAATACTAGCCCAATGCGCTGCCAACTGAGCTACGCGGTTGGCCGGGCATATTTTTCAAGCTCGCCCGGTGTGGATATACACCCAGAGTAACAGCACAAACAAAATAACAGTAATCTTCCAGTCGCTTATTTTTTCCTTTCGCCCTCCCCGCGAGCCTCTACGTGCCCACTCCTGGCCTCAGTCCGCGCGCCCGAATACAAAAAAAGAAATACTATAATATTATAAGATCTACAAGTATTTATATTTAAAAGCGACTGGGGACGAGTCTGGGGTAGAGGGGCAGTTTACATACCCGAAGATGCGAGTTCAAATCGCAAACGAATTTTTCGTTGGTCTATTGCAGTGTCAGAATAATATGAAACTGGTTTACGTATCTCTGAGGATAAAGTTCAATTGCCTTGCATTTTAGAACAAATAAAATTAAAACAAAACGGTCTCCATACAACTGGACTGTGAAAACCGTAAAGAATGGGGGAATGGTCAAACCTGCATAATTTACATCAAAACACAAAACTTTGTAATACCTGTTTTAATGTATTCCTAACCACTGGATCGTGAATTTCATCTATGTCAGCTTTACAAGCCTCAGATCCTTTTGATATATAACTGCATACAGCTGGGCTAAATATTCTTGGGGCCTAACCACCTTGCACAATGATAACTGCCAGCATTTGACCAACAGTTCGAAAATAATCATTCTCCAACTGAGCACGAAGATTGCATCTTGTTACACAGCCAAGTGAAGTGTCTGTAAATCGGTACAATAAAACCATGCTTTGTATTTTGGAAGTGTAGAAATGTTATAGTAATGCTACTGTAATTTAGTAAAATATTTTGCTTCTTTCCTTCTTTTTTATTATTTCAAGAATAGTTCATGAATGTCCCAGCGATGAGACCCCACATGCCAAGGATCACAGCAGTGAAAGGGCTAATTGACCTTAAAAGTCTTACATCACAAATGAATACTTATATATTTGACCCACATGAGTCCTACATTGCATGGCATGTACCTAATGCTTTGATGTATTGAAAATTGTGTGACATACGCACTTCTACGTGTACACGTTAACATGTTATTAGCCTAGCTAACATGTTATTAGCCTAGCTAGCAACAAGTAATCTCCCTAATGGCCTGGCCCTGCATTTAGGACACACACAAAGAGTTAAATTCCACGTTCTTATTCGCCCAGGGTCAAAGCCGTTCCCACGTTTTGCACTATAGAATAGCTTTGACAAATATCTGGGACCGGTTGTATAAAACTCTTAGTCACTTTTTTAATCACTATTTCGTAGTTAAGTAGTGATTAACTCTCAAATACGCGCTTCTTATTGGATGACGTTTTCACTAACTATAGTTAACTTTAATCACTTTTTAATACAACTGGCCCCAGGTAATCAAGTACTTGTATGCAAAAATAATAGACCAAAACTAAAATACATCAACACTTAGCACATACTTGTTAGTGTACAGCTATCCTGACATATAGCTCCCAATAGCAGGTGGAGAGATTCTCGTCTCGGTCCACCTTGATCAATAGCATCTTCTTCTTCCAATAAATTGGCAAATGTTACCTTCAGAATGCCTGTTTTGGCCATGAATGACCGTCGCTTAAAAAAGGCCTGAGCTGTGTCCCAAATTCTTAACCGACTAATAACAATACGTCTTGATTCACCGGTCAAAACTTTTGCAACGTGATCTTTGAGAAAATCCACCATTGCAGTTTCAGCTGTGTCTTGTGATGTGGTGTCATTCACTTCATTTTCCACATCCTGGAATTCTCTCAAGCTAACTTGAATGGCTTCATCAACTGCTTCAGTTTCAGTTAAGCCGACAGGTCTGTAATATATTAATTAACCATTAAGCACCAACACTGTCCCTTGACAAGCAAAATTGTTATCCTAACTAATTTTAACTAGTTTATGGAATGATGCAACCTTTATAATCTAAAGGGCTGGAGACTCCATATTCGATTTCGATGCCTTTCTCTCAAACTTCGGAGATATTTTGGCTCCAGCGTTGCGATAATGGGGAAGGAGGGGGGTGTACAAAATACTTTTCAGACTTTTTTCGAGATCAATTTTCAGAATATTACTTAATATTTAAACTTTTAACACGTTGCACAATTCTACCATTCCGGGCCTCCCTCTGGGAAAGTTGGCCTGCCTTTGTTGACTTTTCTTTGGCCTGAGTACTGCCTGTGTTGTAAATGTATCATCCAGAAACGGTTGGATAAATTTAACTGAAATTGGATCAAAAGTATATATCAGATAGAAAATAATGAACTGATCGGCTCGTGCAGGTGGAAGACAAGACTCTGTTCTCAAACTTGAATCCTAGCAAACGTCGTGCGACCTCAGGCGTGCCTTGATTTCTTTTATCACAATCATTAAGAAGAACGCATTCTGAATCGGCTGGATTAGAGTTGCTGGCACCACATGACCCAATGACAAGAGACGAGTAATCACAAACAGCCATACAAAAGAGAAGGAATATACCGGGGGAAATCCCTACATGTAGCATTTAACACATACAGGAGAGATTATTTATAACTAATTTTTATCCACAAAGACGGAATTCATTTTGTAAACCAACTATTTATTTCATGGATAACTCACCCGTACACGTTGTCTTTATCTTCTTGCTGTTTAAAAGTGATGGGCAGTTAATTGCTGCCGAAGGCAGCCTCCTATTCTTGACGATGTGTTATAGCGCATTTGAATTTCCCGCCAACTGTTTTATATACTGAAGCTCATCTCGATTTTGTGTCGGTAGTTGTGACGTCATATTATGACGTTGCAGTAAGGAATTTGCATTGGAGCGTTATCATACCCCAGGAATTCAAAATAGCAAATCGATGACTGCCAAATACTTTGTTTAGCGACTGCGAACGACGTACCAAGTATG